GGCCCCTGCCCAGGCAGCGGAACCGGCCGTTGACCATGATGGCAATCCTGGTGCACAGCGCCTCGCACTCCTCCATGCTGCCGGGGTGAGGCTTCAGGGGGGCTCCCCAGCAGGGGTCTTGGGGGCAGAGGGAGGCTTTCCTCCAGGGCTGCCACCAGCCCCAGGGCAGGACTCACCTCTGGGATGTGAGCAGCACGGACCTGCCCTCCCGGGTGACGCCACGGATGCAGTCCCACAGGCACCGCCGGGCTTGCGGGTCCACCCCTGTTGTGGGCTCATCCTGCAACGGTGCCAGCGGTGGTGTCAGCCTGGGCAGGGGCCAGAGGCTGCTACAGAACACCCCCCACTGCCCCCACTCACCAGGAATACAATGGGTGGGGAGCCAAGGAGAGCTATGGCCACCGACAGCCTGCGCTTGTCGTCCCTGGCGTAGCTGCACACCAGCTGGTCTGCGTGTGGCCCCAGCTTCACCTTGGTGACGCCCCACAGAGCCACCTGCGAGAGACACAGAGGGGGATGAGCATGGGGGTCCCCCAGGGCCAGGGGAGCCAGGGTGCGGGTCCTACCCTGAAGGTCTCCTCCTCTGGGATGCCGCACACGCGGCTGTAAAACTCCAGGTTCTCCCGCCCCGTCAGCAGGTCAGTGACGGGGTCGACCTGGGGGCAGTAACCCAAGCGCTGCTGGACAGACTGCAGGTCGGTGAGCACACTGCGGGGACAGGGACACAGCTCAGAACGTGGTGGGGACAGCGACATGGCTGAACGCACAGCAGGGCTGGGGAAAGGCTCCAGGGACAGGGACAAGGCTGAGCAGGGTGTGGGAATAGGGATGAGCAGGGTGCGGGGATAAGGACAGGGATGACTGAGGATGAGCAAGGATGCTGCAAGGTGAAGGGCAGGGAGGGGCACAGGGTTAATGGCACACATGCTGTGTGGACAAGCAGCCACAGGGTCCCCCTGTCTCACCCACCTGTGCCCTTTCAGCCAGGCCTCCCCCAGTGTCACCTGCGTGTCCCCCGTCAGCATCTTGAAGGTGGAGCTCTTCCCCGCGCCGTTCACCCCCAGGAGGCCGAAGCACTGTGGGGCACGGACCAGGGTCAGGGCAGTCCCGGCACTGCCCACGGCTCCGTCTGTCCGCCCAGCACTCACCTCCCCGGGGCGGATGGCCACGCAGAGCCGGTCCACGGCCGGAGCCCCCCTGCGCCCGTACACCTGCGCGGCAGAGCCAGGTGGGACCGGCTGCTCCCCGGGCAGGGGCCGGAGCCCCGCGGGGAGGGGCA